CCAACCTGCAGAAAAAGACTCAGTTATTAACTCAAGTGTCTAAATGAAATTATCTGTGTTAATATCAAAGGATATCAATAGTCTAGTTGAAAAACTAGATTGGTTTCAAATCAAACTAACTAAAAAAATCCAAGAACAATAGGACAAAGCAGTTGAGGAAGAGTGCATAGTCTTTTGTGATTAATTATTATTCAATGAAGCATATTAAAACTGTATAACAACATCAATACGAAACAGATGGATAATATGCGTGACATGAAATGCCTTAGATCCATAATACAGAAAATTGCACCCAAAGGACATCTTCATGTAAACAAACGTGTTTCTCAACATATTCCAAACGATAAAAAGATAACAGAAGACAGAGAGCTTTCTGATGACGGAAATAGATTTATCATTCATGAACATAACTGCTCTGCAGGCTCCCAGTACAACAGAGGTACAAGGGAAGCTAACTGCCAGCACAGCTAACAGAGAAAACACCCTTTACAACTGTAACTAAAACTAACACAGCTAATACAAACGAGGCATTGATCAAGTGTTACAACTGCGCTGTGAACTCTTTTGTCCATCATGGCTCCTCAAATTGATGGCAAGGAAGCTACCATCCGTTTCCCTTAAGAGGAACTCTAGCAGAAGCCAAAGCTTTGGGAAATATCCCACTAAGTTGATCTTGACTGGACATATACTGAACACGGGAGATCCTTGCAGGTAACTTTTCCCCCAAGTATTGACACCTGTTTTAGTTCTTCCAATTTCTTTTTCTACAACGCATTCTTCCAATTGCTTTTATTCTTCATCTACTCCACCTGATGTTTATTCTGATTCTTCTAATTCCTCAGCTCATTCTAATGTTACCTGCAGTTCCTATGGCAGATTAGCCAGCTGTTTGATCCTTAGGATCTGATTTTGCAACTTCAGCCCCTGTGATTCGCATTGATTTACCACCTTTCAATAAAAATCATGTACAGACAAGATTGAAATCTAGTATCTCCAAGAAAAAGGTTTTTGTAAGATTGAAATCTAGTATCTCAAAAAAATAATAATAATAATAATAAAATAAAAAAAATAAATTTGTAGCTTCTTAAGCAGCAACTTCAACTATACAATGATTGCTAATTACTGAACCTACTTATCCTGCGGATGTTCCATCCCCCTACAGCAGAGGAATTTAAATCCCTTCAGAAAAGGGAATTGGTGGTTGGTTCCTCTTCCACCCAATAGATATGTGGCGGTTTGTAAAAGGGTTTACAGAGTTAAGTATAATGCAGATGGGAGTGTTCCTCGTTGCAAGGCTAGCCTTGTAACCAGGATATCGAGAAGAGGCTGGGATTGGCTTTCAACAGAATGAATCAGTGCTGGAGATCATACATCACTATGCACCAGAAAGAACGGTGTAACAGATGTGGGTTTTGAAGCTGAAATAGGAAGTCTGGAAAACAGACATGTTACCTAACAAACAGTATGTACAGACAGAACTACAGTGACTAGAAACCTTATTACAAGAGAGAAGACTACAATTAAACAATATGCTATAAAGACTGGAATCGAAGAATGTCCAAGCCTATAATGCCAGACTTGATGATCTATTCTTTGCTCAAGAAAAGCAGTAGTAGGAGAGGTGATCTATAAAGTGCAATGCTGGGAAGCCAGAATTGAATACAATTCATTCCTACTCTGGCCTGTGTATAAGACTTTCCCCGATATTCTGTCTTGAAAATAAAATATATAAGCATAAAATTAAAAGCAGCTATTGCTATCATGGCAAAAATGACGAACAGATAAAAGCATTGAAGCATGGAAGGAACTTTAAGCATATTATCTGGAGCATGCATGAAGTTGTCAAAGACATTGACCAATATGAGTAACGGAAGGTGCTGTCCATTGACAATTGCAACTGTGTCATCACCATCATATTTAATGCTACAGATTAGATGGATAAGATTATAGATGATTTGTTCCAGTCAACCAGTAATTAGCAGCAGGACATTGGCTAGAATAAGAAGTAGTCATTGCAGCCAAGTAAGGAGGTTGCCTTTTGCCCTGATCTTTTCTTTTAGATAATAAACATACTTTGACAAATGAAAAAGAACAATAAAATACACAGGACAAGTTGTTCACCTAACTATACTACTCAACTACAAACACAAACCAGAGTTAAACATCATAATATTACATGACAACAGACAAAGCATGAACTAAATAAATACAGCAACACTCCAATCATAAAATATATCCTAGAACTAACTATACTTAAACTCTGAGGATATCGACACCCAAAGGGGAGCCCAAAAACAAACTCTATCACACACAAAAGATCCACCTCCTCATCCCATGCTCCTTCAAATACCCTTCTATCCCTTCCATCCACGCCGCCACCAAAAAGAATGCCATCCCAACACAACTACCTAAGGAAGTATATCTTACAAATCAATAAGACAGTCAGAGAGAAACTTCCAGAACTTTTGAGAAAGTGAGAGAAAAGGTCTGCTTCTGATATGGAGGGCACAAAGCTCAGATACCATGGAAAGCAATACTAGACAGAAAATGCTCTTGAATGCAAGAGATTTCTCATTCAGAAACACAGCTGCTCTGCAGCTACTAAGTACAGCTGAGGTACTAAGGCAGCTAACTGCCAGCTTAGCTAACAGAATACGACTGTAACTAAAATTAACTCAGCTAATACAATTGAGCAAATCAGGGGTAACAACTGTGCTGTGGACTCCGTTGTCTATCAACGACATGGAGGAACTTGCCACCCCCCGTACTCTATTTTGGCGAATGCATAGTCAAAATATGCATTGGAGGATGAAAACATTTATAGGTACGAAACAGTAGCACATTTGTTGTGGCTAAGTATCTGATCGTCGTAAATTTTGTAATTTTTTAAAGCCGGATTTATAATAGAACTGAATCAATGTATACAAAAATTCTAAAATGCTAGTGCTTCTAACCGACTCAATTTAATCATCAAAACCATAAAAATAAAAAAACTAGGAAAACAAATTTAATTTAATCATGAAATCGACCATCAAGATCAAAATTTACTAATAAAACAAATTTAATTTAATCACCAAAGCGAACATCAAGATCCATAAACCATACCAAACACGCTCCGATCATATGCCGATAAAACAAACAAATGTAACTTCAAGAGGTAAAAAGATTGTTGCTTTTTTTTTTTACTGCTAAATTGCAATGTCCAAGTAGTGAAAGCACAGGGTACAACTAGTTCAAAAGCAAGGTGCTGAAAAATCAACTCACAGAGATGACGAGGAGCGCGCGGAGAGGACTACCCCTGCGAGTCCAGAGGAGAACGTTCCGCCCAGAGTTTTTAGAAGCTTCGCGAAGCAGCGGACCGTTCTCGGCAAGAAAGTTTTTGATCCGGCGGAACAGCGGAGCAGCAGCGCCGGCACTGGTGGATCCGGGGAAGAAAACGGCATCAATCAGACGGTGGAAAAGGCCGAAGAGAGTCTCCTCCCGGTGGGTCGCTTTGATGTTGATCTTTCCGTCGTCGGTGACGTCGACGTCGACTGCGCCGTCGTCAGTGACGTCGAATGCGCCTTCGTCGGTGACGTCGACTGCGCCGTTGGTTCCGTACGGCTCCGCCATTGTCAGTACAGAGGACTGAACTGAAGCAATCTGAGTAAATTGATTTTGGCAATTTGCGGTTTTGGTCGTTGGATTTTTCTTTCTGCTGATGCTCAGGTAGTTGACTGAGGGAAAGTTTTAAGGCCAAACGATGGATTTGAGATTTATTTTTTATTTTTTATTTTTTATTTTTTATTATTTTTTTGAAAAGACATAACTACCCATTTTCTGAAGCTAGAGGAACATATACCTGACGAGGGCACGCACGTAATATCGAGGGGCATGGCCCATGCAACAGTAACTACGGGCTACATAATGTCGTGGCATCACTAAAGCCGAAGGAAAAATCAATCAAAATAAAAGCCAAGGTAAAAAAACAGGGCTTCTTCATTTGAACGGTAAGGTGGAACGAACCGATTGGTAAGTAGGTTCCACTACAATCAATGAGGTTTAGAATGTGTCAGAAAGCTTGCAAATATTAAGATCCGTCTAGTAACGTTTTCAAAAGTCGTTTCAGCATAATGATTTTCAAAAATGAGAACAAGAAATCAATTTGCATTTTCAAAATTTAAGAATGTGTATGGTAATCAACCCTGAATAATCCTCTTTCTAAGCCAAAATTTGTATAGTTTGTTTTGTTATTTTTGAAAACATCTCGTATATTACATAGATTTTACTTACACTGAATGCTTAGGTTAATGACGGAGTTAGGATTTCGCATTAGAGGGGTCTCGGGGTCCCTTGATAAAATTTTATTTAATGGCTCAAGCGCTAACTGGTTAATTAGTTATACAACATTAACTACTCATTTTGACCCACTTCATATTATCATTTCAAATTGTTTAATAACATATCCACTCATTACAATCATATAATTATTCTGAATTTCAAATTTAAAAACGATTGAAGATTAATCTCATCATCTACACTATTCAGACTAAAAAAAATACCAAAAATGTTCATAAATTCCAAAGTCAAACAAAAGAGGAAGAGCATCACGCAAAAAACAAGCTACAAGGCACAAGATGAAAGCAAAAGCACAAAAGGCAACAGGAACTAAAAGCCAAAGAGGCTACTGTAACGCTCCCCCAACGTGGGCAAGCATAGAAAATCCACGTAAGAGAGATGGTGAGGTGTTGTGTCTAAATGTTGCTCTAAATGAAGAACATCAATTGTCGACCGAATCTGCGTTTTGATCTTCTTAGAGTCCAAAGATATGTGTGTGCTAACTAGTTACACGATGCTGCATTCATATTCTTAGATTTTGCTTTGAATTTTATTCCGTTCAAAGTTAATTAATTTTCAATGATTCGTATACGGTTTCTACACCCAAGTTTGTCGTTACTGATCTGACTCTGCGATCGTTTTAAACTTGTTACTTTTTGCTTCTGTGGATATGAGACATGCACGTCACTGCCCTGAAATTGCAAGGTTGAGTTTGGTGCTCTCCGGACCTTTATATAGGAACTAGCAGGCACAAGATAAACTAGCTGCTAACATAACAAGAAGATGGAGGGAAATAACTTGGATGTGAGAAAAGGAGCTTGGACTAAGGAGGAAGATGGTCTTCTGAAGCAGTGCATTGAGAATCATGGAGAAGGAAAGTGGCACCAAGTTCCTTACAAAGCAGGTATTAATGTAAATGTAACTCAAAGAGAGCTATATGATATAGATGGTTAATATATGGCTAGAGCTTAAGAGCATGTCCACCCATGAAGGCTAAGGCAAGGCTAAGGCAAGGCAAGGGCTGCCACTATTCACGTGAATAGTGCCAGCCTTGCCTTAGTTGGTTCCACCCTTGGAAGGCTAGGGCAAGGGCAAATACTATTTATATGAGATATGAATAGATGAATTTGTATAGAGTTTTTGGTGTGGGAAATAAAGAATATGCCTAGGTATTTATTTAAAAAAATTCTGGAATTTTTGGTATTTTTTTTCCTTTTTTTTCCAATTTTTTTCAAATTTTTTTGGCTGCTGACGTCATTATAACGTCAGCATTGCATCATCCTGCCCAGGCAGCAGCTCGGGCTGAATTTGCCTGTGGGCTTGCCTGGGCTTGTGGGACCCAGCTCTTGCTCGGGCTGGATTTCCTGCGCTGGAGGGGGAAATGGGCTGGCGGGGGGCCTTTTGCCCAGGCAGGGCTCCTACGCTGGAGGTGCTCTAATAGGCAGTGAAGCCTTAAGTAAATTAGTGATGTTTACGAGGTCTTAAACTTCTCTATTTATTGCCAGGCTCAGTATTCACTAGTGCTCCTATATTACTCACTATTTATGTTGTCTACGTGTTTAGCTCAAATGATATTACTCGTGAGTCGAAAGGTGCTGAGAGACTTATCCGACATCGGGAATTTTTTTGCATTATGCATGGATGCAGGGTTGAAGAGGTGCAGGAAGAGCTGTAGACTAAGGTGGTTGAACTATTTGAAGCCAAATATCAAGAGAGGAGAGTTTGCAGAGGATGAAGTAGATCTAATAGTTAGGCTTCACAAGCTTTTAGGAAACAGGTACCAATAAATAGGTGTCTCTTTCCTCGTCATTATTGTATTCTTTCTTGTCCTTCATTAATTGACTTTATTATTCTGTTCATCACATACATATATATATTTATGCTTTTGTAGTTGGCTGAACAAAATCATACACACGAAAAAAAAAAAACAAAGAAGCTATAAACACACACAAATGCACTCAAGCGCTAACCAGTTAGTAAAATACACACATGTGCCACAATTGCCTAGAAGCTAGGATTTCATGTGTGTGGGGGCCTCTTACAAATTATAAAGAATCAAAAATTCGAACTCATAATACATACGAAAAATAGTGTATATATATCACATATGTCAAGAATTATATTGCTTATTGGTTGTAATCATAATTGTCCTCGACAAAGCGATAGACAAATACATTCTAAGCAAGAAAAATTGCAAGAGATAGACAAAGAGTAGTGATTTAGCAAATATCTTTAAAGCTTTTTCCCCCATTAAACCCAATAGAAAGAAAAAAAAAAATCAAAATTTCACAAATTAAAAAAAACCCTTAGGTCCCTTCATGCATTCATATCATACATGAAAATATATTTTATGTAAAAATATTGACTAAGTATGAAAAATGGTTTTTCGGAATAATCATTTTCTCAAGATAATTTTTGGTGGCTTTTAATCCTTACACATCAAATAAGAAAACTTGATTTTATGGGATTTTGGTATGAAGTATATATTGATTTAATGAGCCATCATTTTTACCGTAAATCGTATTTTACACTAAAATCGATTTTTCATATTTTGATTTGGTGGGAATTTGATTTCTAGTATTTTTATTTGAATTCAAATAGGGGGTACTTCCTTATTTACATTGTAAACTTAAGTAAATGAAGTAATATAAAAATAAATTAAAGTAAAAGGACAAAGACATTTACTTTAATAATTTTACATTCAACCTAAATTTAAAATAAATAAAAATAACACGTTTCGATCTCTATCATTATGTCTCGCTCTCGGCCGGCAACTCTTCATCTTCAACCAAAATTTTTTTCCTCTTCTTCCCAATGCCAACCCCTTCTTCTCAACTCCACCATCTTCTACTCAACCCCACGATCTTCATCTTCTTCTCAATGCCAACATCTTCTTAGACCAAGCTTTATTTTTCATGTGGAAAGTGGGATTACTCGGCAAACCGACCCATCGGTTAACCACCTTGGTCGTTTCCCCACCTCATGGTTCAGTGCTCAATTCCTATTTTCGGCAAGCTGACAGCTTCGGCTAGGTGCTCGGGTTGGGCTCAAAATTGACCCAACCCAACCAGGGCCCAAACCTAACTGAAACATCTAAAGTTTTTCATTTTGACACAAAACCTTAGTTTTGGATAGGGGTGTAAATTGGATTGGAAAATCCGATTCCGGTCAGAATATTTTCAAAAAAATCCGACTCCGATATCCGAAAATGCCGAATTCAATATTTCCAATAAATGCCGAAAATTCTAAAATTCCGAACCCATTTTGATCCAATTTTTCCAATTTTTCTTCAGAAAATTCCGAGTTTCTAATTATATATTGCATTTTTTTTTAGTGTATAGATCTTATATATGTTTCATTTCTTATTTGTTATATTTTAGTACCCCTCTTACAAATATTCATATATACTAACATAGGCTCGGCCAAAAAGAAAATACTAAACATAGTAGTATATAACTTTAAAACTATATATTTTTGGCAAATGTGCTTGTTTGAATATAACAAAAATGCATAAGTGTGCTTGTTATATGCAAACGTACTACATATGTGGTAAATGTAGAGAGTACCATACTATTTCATTTTGTATTCTATGTCTATATGTATTTTTAAAATTTTTAAACTATCTTCATTTAAAGTTTAAACTTTCAGTTATAAAATTATTTTATACATGAAACACCACGTACGTATAAGATAAGTATATTCATTGGAGCTTGACAATCATAGCATTCCAATTGTCTAGAGCAAAACTAACATATTGAATGCAAGTTTAACACTCTTTACACACAACATGTAAGCACAAACTACTTTGATTTAGAATGAACAAATAGTACAGATTGTTGTGTATATATATAGGAGGTTTTCAATGGTTAAGATTACATTTAAAATAGATTATTAGTTTTTAAAAATAATTAATACGCATTGAAAATATCAAAAGACTTCCAACTTTTTATATTTTTTAAAATTATCTCTCCCCTCTCCTCACCCAACCAGAACCTTAACATAATATACCAAAATTTAGACTAAACTAGATTTCCTTCTTGTTTTTTCGAAAATATATTTCCTTTGTCAAGTATTTCCTTTTACTTTTTGTCCTACATGCAATGCAATATAATAAATACATTTCACTGACCCCAAGGCTCCCAACCTGTCAGTATTTTCATCAAGAACCCTGACCTGTCCCAACCAAATTAGTCCAACCACCCACCATGGTCCATCGTAGAGCATGGTCTGTGACCTCAATTCCGGCAATAAGGACCAATCTTTGAGCCCAAACCCCACAATGTTTTTTCCAATTTTGATTGAAAGTTTGAAACTTTTGAAAACAACCAAATGGGTCTAGTTGAATTACTTGTCAATGTCCTAGCTGGGCTACTTGTGAAACCCCTAGTTGGGCTTTAAGTTGAGATTTTTTAAATCTCTAAATAGCTGGGCTTCTTATTATACCCTTAAAGTTGGGCTTCTTATGAAACCCCTAGTTTGGCATTAAAATATCTTAACCGTTTCTTTTTGTATGTCGAGTAAGAATTTGAAAATTCAGAATTGGAAAGTTCCGAATTTTCCGAATTTCGGAAGTCTATATTGAATTCTGAAGGGTTTTGGATTGGAATTGTAATGGTTTATTTCCGATCCGATCCGGCTGAAAAACAGCCTTAGTTTTGGAGATTACAATAAAGGCACCAAGCAGTTTCAAATATTTGTTTTCTCACAAACCCCTTTAATTTAAAATGGCTAATGTAAGATTAGATTGTGCATACACCCCTGAGGTCTAATTTTTAAGGTTCATTTTGTCCTTTGAAGAAGTTTAATGACATCAACAATTGATGGATGCAAAATTAACAAAACAAATTGAAACCTCAACAAGTGTTTGTGTAATTTAAAAAAACTTGGGGGCTTTTTTGAAAACCCAAAAAATTGTAAGGGATGTTAGTGTAATTAAGTTAACATTTAATTTCAATCATTTTTCCTATTATGTGCTTATTTCAATTAAAATGCGCATCCTCCCTAGATCTGTCTCGCAATGTAGTTCAATGACTGGAGCCGTTTGGTTTTGGTTATCCTTCAAGGCTCATCCATGCACAAAGTTATTCAGATCGAAATTTGTTGAGTCATCTAAAATGTGCAAAAAACACAGTTCATTAGATAAAATGAAATTGAAAATGTTGATAATTAGCGACTACAATATCCAATTTAGCTTATTTTTTGCATACAAACCCTTGAAGGATAACCTCGAACTTGAATGATTCCTATCATCAAAAAGGGAATATTCTAAAGTATTCTAATTTATAGGGAGGGAAATCGAACTTAGGATCTCGAGTGCAAAGATAGATGCTCTTAATCACTTGAGCTACGAGCCCTTTCCACACACCACTTTTTATTAATAATGATATCAATGTACAAAATAAGTTATATGGCTCAAATAAAGTAAAATTATGACCTTTTTTCTAATTGTTTTTCACACCTCTGTCAATGATTCCTTGATTCTTGAAAACCAAGCATGACATTCTTCTTCTTTACTGAAAGTAACAAAGTACTCATTCACGTCTCCCATCATGGACTGTAAGATAACTTAGTGAACTTGATGGACCATTTATGAAAATAACTTAGCTTTAAAAACTCTTAGAAGCAGAAATTTTATCATACGAATGTATTTATTTTCTCATGTTAATTATGTGTTGAAGGTGGTCATTGATTGCTGGAAGACTTCCAGGAAGGACATCGAATGGTGTGAAAAATTATTGGAACACCCGACTGCGGACGAATTCTCTGGTGAAAAGGACTACAAAAGAAAAATCCCAAGAAACAATAAAGACCATGGTAATAAGGCCTCAACCACGAAGTTTCACCAAAAGTTCAAATTGTTTGAGTTTTAAAGAACCAATGTTGGACCATACTCAACTAGAAGAAAATTTTAGTACGCCATCACAAACATCACCATCAACAAGGATTGGAAATGATTGGTGGGATACCTTTTTAGATGACAATGATGCTCTTGAAACAGCTACAAGTTCTGGTCCTGAGTTAGATGAAGAACTGCTCACAAGTTTTTGGGATGATGATGATATGCCACAATCGACAAGAACGTGCATCAATTTTTCCGAAGAAGAACTGAGTAGAGGTGATTTCTCTTTTAACTTGGACCTTTGGAATCATTCAAAAGAAGAATAAAGTAGTTCTTAAGTAGTCTTCCTAGTAGCAATTATTTAGCAACTGTTTTTTATTTGTCTATTATTGTTCAAGTCTTTGTAATGTCGCTCCATCGTCCCTTTTCCTTTTGTCTTCATGTTTGATGACTACTTTGCATTGTAACATCTAGCTTGCGTACTACTAGTTTTTATTTGTTGGTATTTTTTTTTAGTACAAAAGATTGAGCACTACTAGTTTTTATTTTTAGGGGTTTCGAACCTGTACCCACATGAGTGGTGGTGGAAGAGCTCAACCAACTGAGCTATACCCCACTGACCATTTTATAGGTGTTAATTTAATATTATTGTATGATTATAAAAAATAATGATAAATTCGTCCAAAAAAGAAATTAAAGATAAATATGAAAGCTCCACAACTTACTGTACATAAGCAAATTCATTACCAATTAAAATGTTGACTCAAAATTCAACATACAACTTTTCTCTCTCCCCTATGAGAGTCTACCTCTCCTCTTTGAAAGTCTTCCATCTCTTTTGTAAATAAGTTCGGAAAAGTTTGATTCAAAAACATACTTGAAGGAAGTTGAGGTTCTACCCAAAATCAATTGGCAATGGGGAAGTAGCCCAACTACTTATAAGTCTTTTCAAGGTTTTCCAACTTTCCAATGTGGGACATTACCACCTTCACATTCTCACATGCCCCTGCACGTGTGGCGACATTTCAAGATAGAGAAATCCAAAAAACTCAACTATTTGACATTTTTGACAAGCAATTAGATAATGAAAACCTAGCCTAGTCTGATCATAAATTAAAAAATTAAAACTAGCATAATCAAAACCAAACTAATACAGTAAGGAAGAAAACTATAAAAATCCAGTAATAAACTCACAACGCCATAGATAGAAAATTACATCGATTACTTGCAGAATCAACATTTCAACACAAAGAAAAAAACTAAAAAATTCAAAAAAAGTCTCAAATCTAAAGAAAAAAAATTACATACCTCTACATCAATGCAAGCTATAATCCTAAAGCCCAACGGACACGTGCTCCACATCACCCAATATGTGGTGTCCACGTGTTAGGCTTAAAAATTAGCCACACGTTTGAGGGCGTGTGAGAATGTGAATGTAAGAAACCTAGTAAAGGCTTATAAGGAGTTGGGCTACTCTCCCCATTGCCAATTGATTTTGGGATGGAACCTCAACTTCCTTCATGGTATCAGAGCCAAGTTGCCCACATGTGAAAGCCTAACGGCCACACGTGCTCCACGTCACCCAATATGTTTTGTCCACATGTTAGGCTTGAAAATTCACCACACATGAAGGGGCGTGTGAGAATGTGAAGGTAAAAATGTACCACCTTGGGAAATTCAAAAACCTAGCAATGGCTTATAAGGAGTTGGGCTACTCCCCCCATTGCCAATTTGTTTTGGTGTGGAACCTCAACTTCCTTCAAATCCGCCTTCAAAAACCTAAAAAAACTCCAAAACCTTCAACAAAACGATCACACACTAAAAGAACCTCAACTCTTACAAGAAATTGAACATAGAGAGAGAGACTTGAAAAGAGGTTGAGTGAGTACAGAGGAAGTTATTGAGAGAGAAAAAGACAGAAGCAAAAGTAAAAGAAAGGAGATGGTGTTGTTGAATGTTTGTTTTTCTGAGTAGCTATGTGAAATCGATAGAAGAAATAGAGAAGATGGGAACAATGCTCAAAGCGTGACATGTAAAACATATACGAGAAGCAAACTGAATGAAACACACATTTTTGTCAAAATACACCACTTTTTGGTCAATGGGGGTAAAACTATATGTTCACTTACTGTTTGTGCATAAATTAAAGGCTTATTTACTGTAGCACCCTCTGAAACTTCGGTCAAATCTCACTTAACCCCCCTAAAGTTAAAATGACCCACTTAACCCCCTTGATCGTGGTTTTGTGTTCCACTTTCCCCCCCCACCATTAACGCCATCCAAAACTTTGTTAAATATGATGACGTGGCATGAGCTTTTTGGTAATTTCATCCATATGTCCCCTTTTAAAATAATTTAATTTTTTTTTTATAAGAGCCTAAATTAAAATAAAAAATTAAAGCCAGTAGCCACCATCTTCTCCACATTGCACCACCACTCCATCAACAAGCCCAACCGCACTAGCCCACCCCAAATTCAAGCCCTATCACCATCGCAATCCAATCTCAACCATCGACGCCCAACTTCAAGAACAAGCAAGAATCAAGAGGCATATAATCCAGATCTACCGCCCATCAATCTCTCTTTTGTTTTACTTTTCTTCACAACCTCTCAATCTCCTCTTTTGGACTATGGTGAGGGGGCCTACGTTGTTGAGTTGTGGGGATGGGTCACTTGTGGTGGGAAAAAGAGATGAAGAGGAAGGGATGGTGCTGCCCCTTCTCCCCTATTCCGCACTCCCTTCCCCTTAATTGACATGCTAATCTCCTAAAAGGAGATAGCATACATATGAGGTTTTTTGCTTTTGGTTTCTGGGTATTCATGGGTTTTGATCTATTTGTTGTGTGGCGAATTGGTTGTGTATTGGGGTATGGGCTGTGAATGATTGGATCTAGTGGGGGGATGGTGGTTGCCAAGTTTGTAAGGGAAGTGTGCCAGATCAATGTGTGCTGGGGTGTGGTCTACTATGGGCGGGTTGAGGGTGGGGATGAAGTTCAACTTCAGGATGATGTGGGCAGCTTGGGAAAGATTAGGGGAGATGGTGGCTCTAGGGATGAAGGTCGAGGCTGTGATGCCATTTTTTTTTTTCCGTACTAATACTTTAATTTTTAAAATTTTTGTTTCTCTTTTCTTTTGGATTTTTGAATTTGTATTATTGTGGCTTTTACCATATTGATCCTGCCATGTCAGCTTTTTTGATGGTCTTTTGGATGACATTAACAGTGGGGGGAAAGTGGAACACAAAACCACAGTCAAGGGGGTTAAGTGGGTCATTTTAACTTTGGGAGGGTTAAGTGAGATTTGACCAAAGTTTCAAGGGGTGCTACAGTAAATAAGCCTAAATTAAAATAAGAGAACAATATTACTCGATATGCATGTCTTGTTATTTTTGGTTTCAATATTATGTCTATATCTTCATTTTGACAAAGTGAATGACAACCCAATGAAATCTTAAACAAAGAAATGGAGAGATACAGGGTAATGCACAAGAAGAATATCATAGTAGTCAAGGGCCTGGAGCACAAGAAGTAGAGACATTGATGAACAACCTTGTTGCAAGTTTAATTCACGCATCTTCTTAGACAATTTTTTTTATATGCATTTATTTAAGCCTTTCAATGTTTTTCTATTGCTACAATTTTAACATGACGGATTTGTGAAAAAATATTAATTACTTATTCAATTTGAAGGATGGTTTATGAATCTACTATTGTTGTGATATCTATTTCTTTTTGTTGGAATTTCTTCAATACATAATTATGTTTTTCAAAGTCGGTTATATTTGGTGCTAGAAAATAATTGATATATTTTGTTTGAAATTTATTTTTCTTTAAGCAAAGATTAATATATTTTTCTAGGGGGAAAAGTATAAAAGCACTTTAAAGTATTATTTTTTACCAAACAGATTAGTAAAAAGCACTTTCAACATCACGTCCATTTTAGTCATTATAAACAATTATAGCACTTTTAGAGTAAAATTTACAAAACACTCTGATACTGCTTCTATACTCATAGCACTTTTAAAATTACAGTTTACCAAACGTTTAAGTGCTTTACTTTACAATTGTTTCTTCTTAAAGCACAACATAAGCATTTTTATTTTTATTTTTTTTTAAAGTGACAACAATCCCAAATTAGGCCTAAGTGATATGATAAGGGCATTTTATTGCATATTTGTTATCTCTAATCTGTAGTTGTTAGTGCCTTAGTTTATTCTATTTGAACTAATTAAATTATTTTTCACAAAATGTGAAGTAAACAAAAAGTTTGCTAAAAATTGAATTACATTCTATTTGAACTAATTAAATTATTTTTCACAAAATGTGAAGTAAATAAAAAGTTTGCTAAAAATTGAATTACAAAGCCAAAATTGGCTAAGGTGAAAACTAATTAATATGTTGCCCATGTTGTCTTCGCAGTCGTCAAAGAAAAGGAATTGCTTGGGGACTTAAAACTGAAGAAGCAAATAAATCTTTTTGGAGCACTTAATCGGTTTCCAGTGGAAATACGACATTTTGGTGGAATTTATGTGCAAGGCCAATTGGAGAGTGAAGCTAAGAGCTTGAAGATACCTCTGTAATTCTTATAGAATTTTTGGAGCAGCCAATCAAAGCAGTATTTCAAGACAAAGCAGTTTAAGGTGAAATTCGTAAGCATCTGCATTATTGGACCAAAAAGGATATTTGAAGGCCTTTCTGATTTTTCCTTGAGATGGGCTACATATGGTTTGAAAGATAACATATAGAGCTTCAAGTTTCATATTTTAGCAGAATTATTGAGAGAAAGAACGAGCTCAAAATGTGCCTAAAAGCAAAGCGCAGTGCATTCACTGTCAAACTAGGCCAGCAATTGTGCAGTCAAGGAATATCAATCGTTTCGATGGCTTTTATTGAGAATTGGCAAAAGGGCTCATAGGAAAGATCATTTTCGGGGCTTCAATTTAGTGTGGTCCAAGTCTTCATTTGGAGTTGGGAAGCCCAAGTTGTGATGCACACAAGGTTACTTGGTCATGCATGAGCTATGCATGCTTTATGCTTGTTAATGGATGATTTGATTCATCCATTTGCCCTTGAAGTGCTGCACCAAGAAGAATAAAGAATGAGAAATGGAATTTTGGGTTAAGTATTTGAGTTAAAAAAGATTAATGGCTTGTTGTTGTTGAGAATGTTGGGCTATAAATAGAGAAGTTCCCCAAGCTTTCAAAAAAAAAAAAAAAAGCGCCATACATAGAAAAAAGCCATACACCAAATAGAGTTAGAGTACAGAAGAGACCCTGGGGAGCCAAGAGGCAAGGATCCAGGGGCATCTACCATTTTAGTTTTTCTTTTTTTAGTTTTCGTGTTGTCTTTAGTTTTATCTAGTTTATTAGTGATTATCAACTCTTGTAGACCCTGTCCTCCGACATCACCACTTCTACACCTTTGAAATCAGGCACTCTTGATGATAAATTGTTAATCATACAACCCCGACTAACCTCCATTGC